AAAAGAAACATTATTTTTTAAATCCATTATTTTACATGGTATCAGTGTTTACCTGACACCCTATCCCCCCTGAGCGACAAAACGTCCCACCTGCCATCTGCTTCCTCTCAGTTCTTCTCTTCCGTCCCTCAGGAAAGGCATGACGGTAACAGCAATGGGAATCCCCGGCTGCCTCACCTGCCAGCGGTCAGCCAGCACCTCTACAGTCCGTCTCCTTCCCTCTCGCACACGGCCAGCTCGGACTTCCAGCCCCCGTACTTCCCKCCGCCGTACCAGCCCATCCCCTACCCGCAGTCCGGTGACCCTTACTCCCACCTCGGCGACCCCTTCAACATGAACTCCATCCACCAGACGCCCTCCTCGAACCAGCAGCAGCCGTGGCCCGGCCGCCAGGGCCAGGAGGGGCTCGGGAGGAGCGGGCTGACGAGTCAGATCCTGGGCCTGGAGGGAGGCTCGTCCGGGGTGAGGAGGGAAGGGTTCCGCCGGCCGGAGCTGCTGCCCCCGCACGCGCACAGCCTGGAGTCCCCCGTTATGGTGGACAACATGGGGATGCACGACATGAGCCACGCGCTGGAAGAAGCTCAGGTAAGTGGACCAGATCATGGCCTGACGTGGGCTAACTTCAGTTAACATGTGGAAAACAAGCAATCACTGAGTTAATGTCAAACTTTATTATTTTATTTATTCATTAAATTATTTCATAAGTAAAACAAGAAGCTGGTCAGCTAATAAAGTGCTTTTCTCCACAAAAATATAATTATTACTACTTGTACTATTTTTATTTAATGTTTTTTTTATTGAGCTTGTGCACTTCTTTCTTTTTTAATCAGCACGTGGATGACCACAGTATTATTATGGCAGATCAGACGGTTATAAAAAAAGGTGAGTTGTGCCAACTTTAATTCAATTCAGTTCAGTTTATTTATATGGCGCCAAGTCACAACATACGTTGTCTCAGGGCACTGTACATGAAAACAAGAACAATCTAAAGAAGAAGCCAGCAGATTGTGTTGAATCACTTCATCACAGTCTCTGAGCAAACGGTGGAGAGGAAAAACTCCCTGCTAATCAGGAAGAAACCTCCAGCAGAACCAGGCTCAGGACAGGCAGCCATCTGCCTCGACCGGCTGGTTTGGGGGACAGGAAAGAGACGCAGGCAAACACAGAAGAACTGGTCCAGGTGCACCTTCTTCTGGAAAAGAGACAAAAAAACATGTTATTGATAGAAATAATTACAATAAACATGTAGAGAAGAGAAAAGACAACAGCAGAGTGAGGAAATGTGCTCAGTTTGTGATCCCTAGTCTTTATCACTGTTAAAAAGGGAAATAAAAGGAGCGAGGGGAGAGGAAAAAAAAAGGTGGTTCTGTTGGTAAACTCTGCCTGCAGTACGTACTGTTTGTACAAACATGCAGTAATTACTAACAGGAACTGGAACTTTACTTCAAGGACTTGTGCTGTTTTTTTCATTCTGTGCAGCTTTAGAGATGTCATGCCTCTACAGCGGCATGTCAGGGCATTCAGTCGTTAGCGCAGAACGCAGGAGGAGTCTTCTATTTGTACTAACACTGCACACAACGATAATCCTCACAGCCACGAGCTGCACTCGCCTAAGCCCGATGTGATCCTTCGCCCATTCTGCCAGGGGAAAGGTGCTTGAATGGATTCCCAGCGAGAGAGAACGGATCCCCCCCCCTTTTCAAACTCGCCAGGCTGTGGCTGACATGACAGGAAAATTGAGCAACCTGGCAACGGCCGTGTTGACTGAGAAAGAAGAGGAAAGCTTCGGATCATCTTTAGGCCCTTTTTTTTAAGTTTGCACCCCCCCCACTCCCACCCCACCTCCGTTCTTTCTGTTCACTCTACCAGGAATTTAGGAGTTGATCTTGAAGCTGTGTTTGGTGCTCTGCAGGACCAGCTTTTTTTTTTTTTGTTGGGGTGTGGCATTAGGCTTGCATGTGAAGGGCAGTTTGGTAGTTTGTTCAGGCATGAACTGTTTGAAGGGAGAAACTTATTCGTGTGGTTTTGTCTTTGAGGCTCTATTAAACAACGTCTGAGCGGAAAATAAGGACCAACGTCACATCACCCCTTAGATTTGTTGATTTGTTTCGACGTTAGAAAGATACATGGGTAGATAGATAGATGGGCGAGTAGATAGAGCATGCAAAAAGTTCATGCAGTACAACAAAGCACGTCGTCTGCATTTGTAACACAAATCAGTGATGGCTCATTATGTTGTTCCCATGCTGAAGGGAACGCTATAGGCAATCTAGGTTTTCCACTTGTAAACAATATGTCATTCCCAAGCATGTGCCCCAGAGGAGAATTAAAACATCCATGTGACTCTGTGATTTCTGTCTCAGTATTAGGACTACGAGGTGGCAGGAACCTTGATCGCTTACAGAGGACTTATTATCAGGGGGGCATTCTTGCTGGTGAGGATGAAGATAGCTGTATTTTGTAGTGTGGTGTGCTGTTTTTTATTTTATTTATTTTATTTTTTTGTCTAAAGACTGTCAGTTTTTTTTGTGTGTATTTTGATTTCCAAAAGAAAACAATCCAAACTGTGAAGTGTTTCATTTTCTCCAATTTTGCTGCATCAAAGTCACCCAATTAAGATCACAAGTGTTTTATTTTGAGATTAAATAATGCAGAAGCTTATAGGGCTCAGATGAGCGGCAGTCTGTTTGTGGATGGTGTTTGCAGTAAGGGCTAACCATCAGGCATTTAATGTTTCGAAAACCACAAATACTTCAAAAGGTTTGAGATGCTTCTTGTAAACACTCCTTTAATAGTCTCTGGTTTTCTCAGTTGTGTGGAGTTGTACACACACTTTCTGTCTTGTGAATACATGCAAAAAATCCCAGTTTTGGCATGAGGATTAAGGTTAGAGCTTATGTACATTAACTGGAAACGTGGATTATACAAATGTTAACTATTACACAAATCACAGTGCATTATTTTTCTGTTGATTTTTCTGTTGTTTTTTTTTTTCTGTAATTTTCTCTTAAGCGTAAACATCCATCTTTTGCTCTTCCCCCGCAGGCCCTGTCACACTACCGAAAGGTAACACACTGGGCCTTCCCTTCCAGAAAGAGTCCCTGCTGGGCATGGTATCAAATCCGACAGAGGTGTTCTGCTCCGTACCGGGTCGTCTTTCCTTGCTGAGCTCCACGTCCAAGTACAAGGTCACCGTGGCTGAAGTCCAGAGACGTTTGTCACCCCCAGAGTGCCTGAACGCGTCGCTCCTGGGAGGGGTTTTACGCAGGTCAGGGCCTCAAGCTCATTCAGTGTGACAGCTTGGTTGGGTTTAATTTTATTTTTCTCTCTATGCACTCTAATCCCCCCCCCCCCCACAACACCCCCGCTCTGAAAAAGAGTTTCATAAAATACAGGAAGATTGTTTGAGTGCTTTAGATGTGAGTGATAATTGCTTTGTGAAACTGTAGACACAATCCGTGGCATGAAGCTCAGTGGCTCCTGGGAAATACTTTTTTAAATGCATAGCACGGCTTTATTCAACACTTTTTTGTGCAAGGTTCATGATATTCTTTGTGTTGTCTGCAGTTTTAGTTTAGCGCTTCCTTTGAAGATTTGCTACATCAACACTGTTGGTCTAAATCTGATAACTCTGTAGTTGTGTTTATGTGTTTATGTGTGTGTGTGTTCATGAAATTGTTCGATGTGTAGTTTTATCCGTGTCAGAGCAGTTGACTTTATGGCACTTACGTGTTGAGGGACTGAGAGGTTACCTTTTCCTGATCGCAGTGTTTGTTTTGTTTTTAGCTGGAGTACATGATTGCCACTTCCCATGTGTCTTTGTTCATGCTGACATGCACATGTGCACTCACGTACACAAACACAGTCAGTTTTAAGTAGGTCATACAGCAATGGGAGTGGGTTCGTTAGCAGAAAGACAAAGGTGGTGGTGGGGGGGGGGATCAGGATGACGGGGTGAAGGCATCAGAGACACATGCTTCCCTAAAGATGGTCCGTCTCTCACCCGCAACAAAAAGGGAGGGAGAGCTGGCTGTCCAGTCATGCAGAAAACTGAGTCGGCCATGTCGTCAGGGGTTTAAATGCTTCTGTAAATACGTAATATCTCAGCTGTGTTTAGATTTGGATTACCATTTGTTTTAAGGATATTGAGCTCCAGATTAGATTGTCGTCATAATGTGTTATCAAAGATTTTATACGAGCCCCAATCTGACATGCTATTTATTCTGTTTATTCAGTTTCCACGTGGCTTTTTAGCTGATTTCTTTTAATGCATGTGTTTTACATCCTTGGGCAAATAGTAATAAAAAAAGGAACTTTATTAAGTGATAAATACCTTTTAATTGTACTAATTTTCTAGTTACAATTTTCTGGATATTTCGACACAAGAGAAGTCGTTGTTTGTGTAATTTTGCGGTTGCTTTCATGTTGGTTAACTCAGTCTTTTGTTGTTGTTTTTTTAAACTCTACAGGGCAAAGTCAAAAAATGGAGGCCGTTCTTTGAGAGAAAAGCTGGATAAAATTGGTCTTAACCTGCCTGCAGGAAGAAGGAAGGCAGCCAATGTCACTCTACTTACCTCATTAGTTGAAGGTATGATATGTCACTCAGTGGCACTCAGAACTTTCTCAAGTCTAACTGTTGATTCTACCAACTGGAATGCAGCTCATAAAGTTTGAGAATGTCAATACATCACTCCTGTCAGCACAGTATTTCAACTACAGTACATTCTCAAAGTAATCTCCAAACCTCCGTCTTTATCTTTTCTTTTTTAATTATTTCATTATTGTCTGGCTGACAAATCATTGGATATTTTGTTTTTATTTCCTTATTTACTTTGGACATTTTGTCAAATTTGTAGCATCTACATGGAATATTAATGTTTGTATTCATATAAAACCCTCAACTTTAGGTCGTACAATTGTATATCAAATTTTAATATTTGCTTCTAATGAAACCAAAACCAAACAAATCATTGAAAAATATGCCTCCATGTAAGAAAATAAAATCACAATTCATTTACTTTAGTTTGCACCTATAAGCAAACATTTTTATATATACATAATTTGGTTTTTGTTGCACTTTAAATTAACATCTAATATTTCTGTTTAATAAGCACAAGAAATGCAATGTTGAGTTTTAGCTGTACATCCTCTAATACAGTGTTTCCCAAAGTTGGGGTCTTTGGGTCCCGAAACATCAAGGTGGGGTCCTGAAAATATTTTCTTAATTAATTACATTTTTGCCTTAGTTGTTACAAAGGAGTGAG